GATGGACCGCGGCGGCGGTCAACTCGCGAAATCCCCCGCAGCTTGCTCGCCGGCCCGCCCGCCTGCTTGCTCGCTGCCCAGCATGACTGACCTGGGCGTGGCTTGGCTTGGACGGGGGGCCGGGGCCAGCCAATCAGCCGTCCTGCTCGTCCTTGGCTCTCGACCCACGTCACCCTCTGCCGTCGTCGCTGGCCGTGACCGACTGCGGGGAAGCCATTCAAGCCCCTCATTCGCTGCATACTGTACCGACAGCCGGGCGCGCAGGCAAAGATGTGGCCATTGCGCGCCTGGCGCCACCACCTCCTTGGCAAGTCAGCACCACAAGGGCGGCTGGTCAACCTGCCTGGGACCTTCGCCACCTCGACCATCCTCTGCCGTCTGCCATCTTCTCTCTCGTCCACAACCAACCGCTCCCTGTCCGACGATCCTCGCAACCCCCGTACACCACGCCATGGACCAGCCTAGACCGCACCCGGCGGCCAAGCAGCCTGCGCCCGCCCACCATACCCACCCAGGCACCCACTCGACCACCCCGGATGCCGCCATCAAGTCGTCGCCGCCCTCGGTCCACTCGTACCGCGGCGATGCACCGACGGCCACGGCCGCCCCACCGCCCGGCACCGTCATCCAGGCCAAGCACTTTTCCACGCTCGCCCTCATCGGCCTCTGCTACTGCATCCTCAACAGCTGGACCGCCGCCTCGGCCTCGCTCTCGGTCGCCCTCCCCTCGGGCGGCCCAGTGGCCATCCTCTGGGGACTCGTCGTCGCCACCTGCGGCACCATGGCCATCGCCCTATCCATGGCCGAGATCTGCTCCCACTACCCGACCACCGGCGGCCAGTACCACTGGGTCTACCTCCTCAGCCCGCCCGCCTACCGCAACGGCCTGGCCTACACCGCCGGTTGGCTCAGCGTCGCCGGCTGGGTCGCCCTCACCGCCACGGCCTCGAGCCTCGCCGCGCAGCTCATCACTGGCCTCATCGCGCTTCTCCACCCCAACTACGAGAGCCAGCCGTGGCACGTCTTCCTCCTCTACGTCGCCTTTGCCCTCGGCGCCTGGCTCGTCAATGCGTTTGCCGTCCGCATCCTCGACGCCGTCAACCGCGTGGCCATGTTCTGGTCCCTCGTCGGCGCCCTCGTCATCGTCATCACCACGCTCGCCTGCGCCGTGCCCGACGGCCGCGTCCAGTCGGCCCGGTTCGTCTTTGGCGGCTTCAACAACTCGACGGGCTGGAACGACGGCGTGGCCTGGATCCTCGGCCTGCTCCAGGCCGCCTTCAGCCTGATTGGCGCCGACGGCGCCACCCACCTCATCGACGAGATCTCGCACCCGGCGCGCAACGCCCCGCTCGCCATGGTGCTCGCCGTGGCCATCGGGTCGAGCTCGACGTTTGTCGTGCTGACGGTGCTCCTCTTTGTCATCCGCGACTTTGACGCCGTCGTATCGTCGCCCAACGGCGCCCTCGGCGAGATCCTCTACCAGGCCGTCGCCAACCGCGCCGGCGCCGTCTGTCTCCTCATCTTCCCCATCTGCTCGATGGCCTTCACCGCCACGGCGCTCCTCACCACGAGCTCGCGCATGGTGCAGGCGTTTGCGCGCGACCGCGGCCTGCCCTTCTGCTACGGCCCGCTCCACCTCGAGCGCGTCGACGCCCGCCTCGAGGTGCCGCTCCAGGCAATGACGCTCACGACGGCGTGGGTCGTCGTCTTCGGCTGCATCTACCTCGGCAGCGACTCGGCGCTCAACGCCATCCTGAGCAGCTCCGTCGTGCTCCTCCAGGCATCCTACTGCCTCCCCATCCTCCTCGTCCTCATCCGCGGCCGGAAGGCCACGCTGCTCGGTCCGTCCACGTCGGCGGGAGACGACAGCGCCGTCAACGCAGGCCAGCGACGCACCCTCGGCCCCATTCTCGGTCCGGCGCTCAACGCCACCGCAGTGGCCTATATTGCGTTTACCGACGTCTTTTTCCTCTTTCCGCCCGAACTTCCCGTGACGGGCTCCAACATGAACTACACCGTCGTCGTCGTCGCCATCGTCGTCGTCCTCGCCGCGACCGCGTGGCTCGTCGAGGGGAAAAGCAGCTACGTCGGTCCTGTCGACGTCGAGGCCGTCCTGCGCCGGTGCCGTGGCGAGGCCCACGTCGGGGCGGGAAAAGGAGGCGTCGACGGTCTAGAAGCCACGGGCGGCCAGTAGAGATTGCGAGGGTTCCTCCTCCGATAGATAGACACTTTTTTGTTTTTGGCATTGCCAGTTGACGCATCGAACGAAGCGAATCGGACGGACGCACGATCCGACACGGGCCACGTCATCCACCCAGGCAGCCACCTTGGTCCTCTCACAGAGTCGTGCGGGGTACCGCCTGGCGCTGTCGAGTGCGAAGACGACGCACCCTAGCTTCGAGGTGGCCAAGCCGCAGCACGACCTGGACGAGTCCCTCTTGTTCCTGTCGTTGTTCTGGCGTAGCCTCGATGCCGAGGTACGCGTCGAGGGCGCGTGTAAACTGCCCCTGGGCCGTGCGGAGCGAGTGGGGCGGCAGCGCGGAAAACTGGTAGAGGGCATGCGGAGGTCGTCGTCGCGCCTGCGCCTCGACCTTGGCGCTTTGCTCCCCCGCCCCCGTCGTCGTCTTGTCGAGGCCGTATTTCTTTTTTTCATCCTCGTCCTCGCCCTCGTCGTCCTCGGTCTCGTTGTCCTTGTCCGTGTCCTTGTCGGTGGTGGTAGGTGGGAGCGATATAGGTCCAGGGACGGGTCGACGTCTTCTCAACCCGCCCTCGCCCTCTCCCTCTCCCTTCTTCCCCTTCATTCCCCTTCCCTCCTCCTCCTCCCCCCCTCCTCCTCCTCCTCATACCGAGGCTGAACCCTCTCAACCCGCACCCCACCACCATCGGCACGCGACACACGGACGCGCAGATCGCTCTTCAGCCTCGCATCGTACGCGTCGCGTCCCACCCGCCTCGGTCCCAACTCGACCTTGGACCGACCCAGGTGCAGGAACCCGCCGACCAACGCCGACGACGCCTCCTGCCGCAGGCGCAGGTACGTGTCGAGCGTCGCGAGGTATTCCTCCAGTACCCCGTCCAGCGTCTCGCCCTCCTCGCCTTGCGCTGTCGAGGTCGAGGTCGAGGTCGAGGTCGAGGTCGAGGTTGAGGTGCATGGACCGCTTTTTGACGATGACAATGTCATCGCCGTCGCCGGCGCGGAGGCTGTCGCTTGGGCGTCGTCGTCGTCGACGTCGTCGTCGTTGCCAGCGTTATCGATGTCATCCTCGCGATCCCCGTCGTCGGCCGGAGTCGGCGCAGAGAGAGGAGGAAGCGAAAGGTGGTGGATCGGTATAGACGCCTCCGCCCCCTCTTGTCGCGGGTCAGCGAGCGCCGACGAGCGGGCGGGGAAGCGGCGCATGCTCACTGCCTCGACACCCTGCCCCGCCCCAGAGAGGGCAGCGTACCCGCCCCTGCCCGCTTCCGGGCCAGCCGAGCCCCCAAATCGCCTCGCCACCCAATGCGTACCGACCAAGACCCACGCCACGCCCAGCCCGGCCTCGTAGAGGAGGTAGCACCACCGTATCCCCACCGCCCATCCGAGCACGCCCATCAAGGCCCACGCCACCGTCGCCGCGGCGCGCTCGACAATGCCGCCGTCGCGTCGTGCCGGCTCGAGCGGGCGTCCACCGGCGCAGATCCAGACCAAGAGCAGGAACGGCAGCACGTCGAAAGGATTGTGGTCCGTCCACCGCGCCGAGGTGCGCGGCGAGACGAGCCCGACGGCGGCCAGGTTGCGCGCCCAGACGACCAGCACCGTCACCTTCTGCGGCAGTAGCAGAAGCAGAACCAGGAGCAGCGTCAGGTGCTGGTTGTACCGCGACATCAGCGCCGTCCTCGTCGTCGAGGAGGAGGAGGAGGAGGAGGAGGAGGAGGACGAGGGAATGGTGTAGCCCTCGAGCCCGTCGACGTCGTTGCCGTTGTCGTCGTCGACGCGCTGCTGGTCTTCTTCGCTCGACTTGCTTTGCCGTCCCGCTCGTCCCGCCGCCGTCGTAGAGGCTGAGTCATGCGGCGAAAGACGTGACGCTTGCTCGAGATCCAGTCGGGACCGCACCGTGTTGCCAGCATGGAGCAGGCAGAGGACGACAAAGACAAACTGGTGCGGCACCACCAGCAGCGTCGCCAACGCCAGCGTAGCCAGGCCTGCCAGCGAGGCCGGGCGGAATCGCGGTCGACCCTGGCCGCCCGCCGAGGGCAGCGGCTGGCCCCAGCTGATGCGATGCGACAGGCCCAGCTTCCTGGCCACGACGACGACCGCGCCGGTGCCGTGGTGCAGCACCAGCGCGAGCGAGAAGAGCACCTGGTACGACACCACCACCATCGACGCGAGCAGCAGCAGCGTCATGATACCGGCCCCCGGCTGCGGCATGCCGATCAGCGCGCCCACCGTCCAGCTCGTCGTGTTGTCGCGGCCCCAGCCGAGAGCGGCGTAGGCGAAGCGCTGCAGGAGGTCGCCTCCCACCAGCGCTGCGAGCGTACCGGGCACCAGCCTCGTGACCGTCCAGCGGTTGGTGAGGTAGTCGAGCACCGAGGGAAACATGGCCGCGTCGCCCAGCCCCTGCGTCCTGGCCGCCGTCGTCCAGTCGTGCCACATGCGCGCCACGACGCAGGCCAGCAGCGCCAGCGGCCAGGCCACCACGAAGAAGCGGTACCGCATCACCATCAGCCCGACCGAATTGCGCCAGTTGACGGCGATCCTGATGCCGTCAAACGCCGCCACGCACGGCTCCCCGCCGCTGCCCGCAGACTGGTGCAGCAGCGCCGGGTCGGTCCACAGCTGGACGTGGACCGCGTTTGACCGCGGAGGCGGCATGAAGGGCGCGGCCCCGTGGAGCGAGAGCGGCAAGCGGATCGTGTAGTCGTCGCCCTGCACCGTGTGGCGCGCATCTCGCAAGCTCTCGAGCAGCGCCGGCGGAATCAGGCTCGGGTACCACCTCGAGTCGCCCGTCACGGGGTCAGAGACGCGCAGCAGCGGCGCAAACGCCGGCGTCGAGGTGTGATGGGACCCAGTCGGTTGGCTGGCCAGCGTGGCAACGTTGCGTCCGACGGCCTTGAGAAAGCACTTGGACGGCACCAGCTCGATGTCGTAGGCGAGCAGCGCGGCGCTCATCCCTGGCACGCTCCATTCGGCCACCAACGGCGCCTCTTGGGTCGCGCCGGAACCAGGAGCGGCGACGCCGCCGAGGCTGATCGTGCCCGGTCCGACTCCGCCGAGACTCGTCACACGCCCGTCGAGCTCGCTGACCCACGCAGCGCGGGTGAACGAGTGCCGCGCGTGCTCCTTTTGCACGACGCCGTCGTCGGCCTTTCTCTCGAGGCGGATAAACTCGATCGACTTTTCCTGAAGCGTCCTGGAGTCGATGCGCAATCGCTGAAACGCCTGGCCGGGGACGTGGTACAGCCGGTGGGCGTCGGGAAAGGGGAGCGGGTAGCCGGATGCAGCGGCGCTGCCACCGCGCGCCGTAGCGATATCGCGACCCTGCGCGTCGGGCAGGCCGCTCGGGGGCATCAGCTGCCATCTCCACGGCAGCACGGGCTCGCAGACGGCCTTGCCGATCTTGGTCGGGTTGCCCGGATCCGCGCCGCGGCGGCACATGAGGACGATGAGCTCGATGGGCTGTTGCGTGGGCGAGCCTGTGCCGGCCGACGGGTTGGGCCCGACGCAGAGATTGGTGATGAGCTCAAAGGCGAGCGCCTCCTGGCTGCCGTCTTGGCGGACGCGCGAGGCTGGACGGTGGTAGATGGTGTCACCGGGACTGTCCGTCTTGAGCACCGAGTCCATGCCCTCGCTCTCCATCTTGAGGACGGGCGAGTCGTTGCGATCGACGTGGACCTCTTGTTGGCCGCCATCGTGCAAGAAGCTGCCGCCGTCCTGCTGCTGCGCCACGCCGAGGACCCTGCGCCACAGCTCGCGTCGCTTGAGGGGCACATCCTGGTCGCTGCGCTCGTCTGTCAGCCGGCCAAACGTGGCCGCGTCGAGGAGGAAGCCCCTGGCGATCTTTTCGCGCACCTGGTCGCACCACATGATGGCCAGGTGGTCGACCGAGGTCCAGAGCGAAGGCAGGGACGAGGTGAAGGTGGAGAGTCGCGTCGCTTCGGGCGACTGGTGCTGAAGAGCGGCGAGGGAGAGCGATGCCGGGTCCGAGGGAAGCTGCGAGTCGAGCAGTCCGCCAGCGATGGAGACGATAAGGGGCCGACGTGCGCTGCCGCCGGGGGATGACGGCGGCCGGTTGATTGCGCGGTACACGCCCTCGATGGCCTTGTCAAAGGGGGCGGGTGGGTAGGCGTGCGGGGTGCTGAGGGTGACGATGGTGTCGATGCTGTGGGGCGGGTGGTTGTCCAAGGTCGCCATGAGCCTGGCCGCGATGCCGCCCATGCTGTGTGCGAGGATCGGGATGGAGACGTTCTGCTCGCCCGCCGCGCGGTTGGGCGTGGGCGGGGAAGGGTAGCGGTCGCGGAGGTAGGCGACGACCTCGTTGAGGAATGTGGCCTGCTGGACGAGGGTGGCGCCGCTGAATGCGGAAAAGTCCTCGTTGAAGTCGACGGTCCACCAGTCGGTGTTTGCGTGGCGGAGGCCGAGGTTCTGCCACTCTGGCTGGCGCATGCCTCCGGTGGCCGGCTGGTACCACTGGTGCGCGGCGCTAGATGCGACGCTGCGGATCTGTCCGTAGGATCCTGCGTTTCCCGGGACGAAGAGGGCGGGTGAGCCCGTGGGGATGTCGTGCGGGTCGACGGTGCGTTCGCGGTAGAGGTAGAGGCGGTACTTGCGCCAGAGGCCCGAGGAGGAGAAGGGTTCGAGGGAGGCGGTGTGGTCGATGTAGGCGGGCCACATCCTCGACATGCGGCACTGCTGGGATGTGGCGAGGCGCGAGGGGAGTGCGACGAATGCGGTGAGGGTGTAGAGGAGGACGGCGATGGACGAGACGAGGAGCGCGGCGACGGCGAGGAGGGGCCGCGGGGAGGGTGGTGTGCGTCGCTGCCGTGGGCCATGGCCGCCGTTGTCCGCGTGTGCGATCATGGTGGCAGCGATGGGCCTGGCCTGTCACGGTCTGCCTGCCTGTTCTCAGCGGGGGAGACCAGTGGCGGTGTTGGTGGTGGTGGTGGTGGTGCGCCGCCAAGAGAGGGCCCCTACCGAGTGTTGGTCTGTGGGCTGTGCGTCGCCAAGAAGAAGCGGCCAGGCCAGTCCTCCCTCCACCTGGGCGCCAGCTCAACCGCTTACTCGGCCGGCTGATGCGCGCTCCTTCGATCCTCGCAGTTGCCCTCGGAAGTCGGCGGACCCTCACTTCGGTCTCAAAAAATTCCAAAAATGCCGGCAGCCAAAGTTGGGCGCAGCTCGGCGGGCCTTTGTTGGATCCTCTCGCATCCCATCCCGTGCCATCCTGACCTCCTCCCTTCTCCCTCTCCACCGCCTACCTGCCTGCCTGCCTGCCCGCCTGCCTACATCCTCCTCGGTCGTCCACCGTCACCCCCACCTTTCCCGCCGCCCCGACATGCCGCTCAACACGACCAGCTACCTCTCTTCGCAAGGCTGGGCGGGCGTCGGCGTGCCCCTCGACGGGGCGAGCGGACGCGGTCTCAAGAAACCGCTCGCCATCCCGCAAAAACGCTCCCTCACCGGCATCGGAAAGGACCGCGACCGCGCAAACGAGTGGTGGGACAGCATCTTTACCGCGGGTGCCAAGTCGCTCTCCATCGGTGGCAGCCCCGCCGGTGGTACTCCGACCGGCAGTGGATCCTCTACCCCCGTCATCACCACCACCAGCACTACCATGACGACAACGACGACGGCGGCGGCGGCGGCGAAAGGTGGAATGTCGCTGGCCTCGATGGCCAAGCGCGAACACGCACGCAAGACGTTGATGAGCAGCTTTATCCGCGGCGAAGTCATCTCGAGCAAGGAACCCTCCCCCGAACCCCCGACCGCCGCCTCTTCCTCCTCCTCCCCTAACCCTTCTTCAACGACGCCACCTCCACCTTCTTCATCGACATCGACCGACAAGGCGGACAAGCGGGCGCGCAAGGCAGCCAAGGTGCAGGCCAAGCTGGAAAAGGCGGCCAGGAAGGCGGCCAAACAGGCCAAGAGGGAGGCGAGGGAGGTTCGGAGGGCGGAAAAGCAGAAGAAGAGGAGCGAAAAGGCGCTGCGACGACGACAAAAGAGCAAGGACGAGGGCGTGAGCGAGGGCGAGGGCGTCGACGGGACCGGCGTCGAGTCGAGCAGGAAACGAAAGAGGGTGACGGACGATGCTGCCCTAGGCGACGCACAGGGGATAGCCCCAACGGCGGCGACGACGGCGGCGGGCAAGGAGGAAAAGAAAAAAGCAACGAAGAAGGGCAAAGTCGACAAGGCGGATCGCAAGGAAAAGAGGCGCAAGGACGCCAAAGCCAAGCAGGGCCCTTCCTCTGGGCAAGCCTGATTTTCCCCCCGCCCCCGCCCCCGCCCCGCGCCGACTGCACGCAATCGATACCCCCGCGCCTCCTCACGCTTGCACACCATCTTACCAAACCTCCGGCATCGCCGATCCGTCAGTCAGTCAGGTAGGTGCAGGGAGGTGCTGCTCGCATTCAAAGCACGAGGCAGAGAATAGATGGGTGACGAGAAAAACTCGATCGAGAGGGAACCCCGCTCTGTCGTCGTCACCGCCTGTCGCGAGCTCAATCGTGCTCGCTACGCTACGCCCGTCGTGTCGGGACGGAAATGCCGCTGCCCCTCTCACCCGAGGCTGCCGCATCGGTCGCCGCCTTGGCTCCTGCACGAACGGCGGCGGTACCTGCAGACGAGGCGGCGTGCATTGCGCTCCTCCGGATCCTGCCCGCCTCGGACGGCGCGACGACGTTGGTCGACTCCTTGAACACCGTCGACCTCGCCCCCGCCCCCGCCGTCGTCGTCGTCAGCGCCGTTGCGGCAGAAGGACGACCAATCCTCGTCGCCGTCACCGTCGAGCCACCGACCGTCGAGGTCCGCTCCCTCGCGCCAGCGTAGGACAACGCAGTGCCGACCGACTCGCTCCTCTGCAGTCCCGCACGCCCGCCGACGACACCGGCCGACGACGTGGCGGCGGCTGCGTTGGGACGCGCCAGCGAAGGCGGCCTCGTGGCGATGCTCTTGCGAGGCGTCGTGCGTGCCAGTCGGCTGGTCGCGACCGAAGTCGACGACGAAGACGACGGAGCGGGCAGCGGAGGCATGGGTTGGATCCCCGTAGCAGCGCCGCCAGCGGTCGTGGTCGTAGTCGATTTGCGCGGCGTCCTCAGCCCGCTCGTCCTGGCCGTGCTCGTCGTCGTCGCACCAGCCGCCGCGGGGAGGAACGACCTCCTTGCGCTACCGGCCGTGGTCGTGGTCGCCCCTCCAACCGCCGACGTCGTCCGGCCACTCGCAACGTCTCCTCCGCCCGCTGCCGTGCGATGCGAAGAAATGGTCCGGACAGGCCCAGTCGGCGTCTTCATCTCCAGCTCGGCGCCGGCAGGAGGCGAGACGGGACGACGGCGCGGCACCGCAATCGTAGAGGCCGACGAGGAAGGGGTGACTGCCGTCGTGGCCGAGAGCGAGATCAGCGACTCGCGACGCGACGCGCTGCCGCTGACGGGCGGGCGGGAAGCGAGGCTCTTGCGTCGAGATGCCATCGGCGTCGCAGTCGCGCTCGCCGTGGTCGAAGTCGTCGCCGAGCTCGCCGCGGGACGATCCTGCGTCGATGTGGTGGAGGTCGTCCGGCGACGTGCCAGGCTCGACGTCGCGGCTGCTGCGGAGGTCGCGGCTGCGGAGGTCGCGGCTGCGGCCGAGGGTCGAGCCAGGGTGCGTGCGGCGGCGATCGGAGTCTTGGTGTTGGCATCGCTGCCGCCCGCTTCACCGCCGATACGGCTCCTAGCCGAGCTGGTCGACGTGGACCGCACAAGGCCGCTTCCAGGCTGCCTCAACCCCGTCGACCTGGCCGGCGCGGCAGGCGACTCCCTCACGGTGCGGACACTGGTGGTGCTAGTGACAGACGAGGCGAGCGACGCCCTCCGCGACCGGCCAACCGCCGTGGTGGCGCTGCTGCTGCTGCTCGCGTTGCTCGCCGTGCGCTGGTTCTGGCGATCGTTGGCCGCAAGGGTCTCTGCCGTAACGCGGTTCAAAGGTCGTCCGGCGCTCGGTGCAGCGGCACCTCGCTCTTCGGCCTCGCGCTCGCTGACCCCGTCCCTCGCGTTGACAAACGAGGCCGACAGGTTGCCGCCAAACAGTAGGCTCTTTTCGCCAGATTCGTCCATGAGCAGCGACAGCGAGGTGGAGCGGCCTGTCAGGTCGAGCTCGGCCGTGCTCTCATCGGAGCTTGGTGCCGCGAACGGGTTCTTGATCGTGCTGTTGCTGCTGCTGGTGGGGCCCGCGGTTGGCTTGGGCGCCAGTCCGAGCCCCAGCACGTTCCTCCCGAAGCCCCGTTCAGCCTGTCGCGGCGATGGCGGTGCCGCCGCCGGTGCTATGGCTGCTCCGCGTTCCTCTGAGCTCGGTGCCTCTGGTACGACGCTGATGCGCGGCGGCCTCGATCTGGACGGCTGCGAGGGGGCGCCGCGGGGTCGATTGGCCCTAGTGGCATGCGCGTTGAGGTCGAACGAGTCATCCAGCGTCACGTTGCCCGCCGCGGCCAGGAAGCTCGAGTCGCCCAGCGACTCGCCCATGAGGTCGGTGGCCGACGAGTCGAGGAGGAGGCTCATGTCCTCGAGCTTCGACGGCGAGCTGCCGCCGTTGCGCGTGGCCCGACTCGGCCTGGCTGCAAGCGGTCGCCGGGCGGTGCTCGTGCTGGCTGCCTTGGGCGGGCTGATTCCGAGCTTGTTGCGCTGCGCCCCCATCGTCTCGGCGAGGCCGCTGCCCGTGGCTCGGAGATGCTCGGGCGGCATCGTGGGCGAGGAGAGCGGACCCAGACCGAGTGTGGCCCGCAGAGCGGCGCGCTGCTCGGCCGAAGTGGTCCGCTTGCTGGGTGAGGAGCCCACCGTCGTTCCGCTGCTGCCGCGCCCCCTGCGGCGCGGAGAGAGCTGCATAGGAGGGGGCATCGAGATGGCGTCGAACTTGGCCGCGATCGCCTTGCGCTCTGGGCTCATGGGCTTCTCGTGTGCACGCGCAGTCGGCACTGCGGCGTCGAGGGAGCTCGCTGCGCTTGGCGGAGGAGATGAGCCAAAGACGACCTTGGCCAGTTCCGCGTCGGCCTTGAGCGCCGTAGCGGCCAGGACGGGCGATGCGGGAGCTGGCGCCTCAGCCGCAATCTCGGGTGTCGCCGAGGTTGGTCCGTGCTCTGGCATCGAAGCCTTCAGTGCAGTCTGGACGGCAGCGGGCACGTCTGCCTCCTCGTGAAGTGGGACCGGGCCGTCTGCCTGGCATGGCTCGGCTCCAGCGGGCGACGTGGGGGTCTCGATATTGGTCGTTCCTGCGACATGGTCGACCGCGAGCGGCGGCGTCGGTGCTGAGACGGCTGCCTGCTCCTGCGTGCCGGTCGAGACGGGGCGGAGGTCGTCCAGAACCGGCTGCTGGTGCTCCTCCTCCTCAGCCCGTTCTTCTGGCTGCCTCGTGGATGCGTGCTCGTTCAGGGACGACTGCTCGATTGGCGTTCCGTCGGTCTGCTCGGTCGGCTGCTCCAGCTGCTGTTGCTCGACGGGCTGCTCGGCGGGCTGCTCCTTCGGCACGTCCTCCTGCTCTTCATCGGAATGCGGGCCTTGAGCCTGCATCTGAGAAGCTGTCTCTGCCTGGAGACTGCTCAGCTGCCCATCCTCTGCCTTGGCCGCCACCACCACGACCTCCTCCTTTCCATCCTCGCGATCTTCGTCACGTCCGTGCAGCAGCTGCTGCTCCGCCTCTTCCCTCCTGTCCGGCCTGACCTTGCGGGGTGTCTGATCGATCTCATCCAGGTCGGATCTCGGCGTGTCGTGCTTCTCTTCCTCTTGGGTCCGCATCCTCGCAATGGAGCCAGCGGAACCGCTGGACGGTAGGCCGAAGAGGGGCAGGGACGAGCCGCCTTTGGCCCATGCTGACTTGAAGCTCGATACGGACAGCGTCTGAGTCATGCTGCTCGGCGGGTCGCTGGTCGTCGCAGCAGTGGGGACGGGGATGGGGTGGCCATCGGTGTCGGTGTCGGAATCGACGTCGTCGTCGTCGTTGTTGTGGTTGTCATCGCATTCCGTCGGCCTCGACGAGGTCGAGGCTGGCTCGGATGTGCCGACGGCGTCGTGGTGCGAGGTAGGAACCACGGTGGAAGAGGGTGCATCCATGGCCCGCACCTGCTGTGGATGCTGGCAGCCGGCGTCGTCGTCCATATCGGAGAGGTGCATGTGGGTAGACGGGCGGACGGATGTGGTGAGAGGGCAGTGCGGTGTTGATGGTCGTCGCGCCGGTGAGCGAGGCGCAGGCACACTCGCGACGTTTGGGCCCGTCGCCGCTCGATTGAAATGAAGCGCTGATGCGAGTAGGGGGGAGGGGAGGGTAGGCTAGGCCCGGCCTGGGCTCGGGGCGGTGGATGCTATGGCGTGCGTGGGCGGGTGGCGGGGAGGATGAGGTGTGGAAGCAAAGAGCCTCTGATCAACACCGCACCGCACCGCACCGCACCGCCCTCGCTGCTGCTGCTGACGCCGTCTGGTGGGTCATGCACGCACGCAGCCAACAATTTGGCAGGACCCTGGAGCAACACACGCCCTGCCCAGTCCAGCCAGCCCAGCCAGGGAATGACGCGAGGGCGGGCCTCATCACGTGGGGGGCGATTTTCAAATCCAAACCTCGTTCCTTGATCCCATGGCACAATTCCACCGCGACCACGACCACGACCACGACCACGACCACAACGACTACCCATCCAAGAAGCGGAGCAGCATCTGCAGCGTCTCGTCGGTCGGCTGCTGGTGGTGCTGGCCGCCCGTCGTACTCTGCAACGGCGGCGGTGGCGGAGGAGGCGGTTGCTGTTTGGGGGGTTCACGGTCAAGGGAAACAAACGCGCAGCATCGTCAGTCAGCACCGCGGCACCGCCCCAACCCCCAACCCCATCTCGAGACCGGGCCTACTCACATTGAAAAGGATCGAGTTCCAGTTGTACGAGTCCGCATAGCTCCACGCCCCGCCCGCACCGGCCGCCGACGTCGCGGGCGCAGAAGACGACGCCGCCGCCGTGCTCGGCCAGGTGAGGTTGCCAATGTCCATCTGCGCGCTCGGCCCGCCGACTCCGTTGCTGGCAGCCGCAGCCACCGCCTCGGCCGCAGCCGCAATCGTGTTGAGCCCGCCATCCATGCCGCCGCCGACAGTGTTGTTGCCGCTGCTGCTGTGCTGGTGGGAGAAGAACGGTGCATGCTGGCCAGCGTGGTGTGCAGCGTAGCCGGAAGCGGCCGCGGCAGCCGCATGCTGCTGATCCATCGAGGTCGGCGCGTCCCACCCGTTGCTCCGTAGACCTGCCGCCGCCGCGGCAGACGACGATGACGGACCATCCAAGCCGCTGCCTCCGCCGCTGCCGCCAGCGCCGTAAAACGAGCTACCAACGCCAAACACGGGCTGGCCCGCCACAAGCGGAGGCGCACCGATCGCCGCCTCGTCGGCCCTGGCTCCCGGTCTTGCCGTTGCAGCATCGCCCCGCGCGTCCTTGGGCCGCAGCAGGCTCTCGAGGTACTGGGCGATCATGAACGTGGTGTCGTCCGACGAGATGCTCGCCCTGCGGAACGCCGCGCTGGTCTGGTCGACGAGCTCGATCGTCGTGCGCAGGTAGCCCTGCCCGAGCGGCGGGTGCGACCGCAGCGTCGCCAGGCTGCACAGCAGCACCGCCGCGTGCGTGCTCTGCAGCACCGTGGCGTCCGGCGCCGTCTGCAGCCGTTCGGGCTCGAAACTGATGAGCGCCTCGAGGACGCCGCGCGCGCCCTCGACGCACGGCCAAAAGGCGTTCATCGTCATCAGGTTGACGCAGCCGTTCTGCATGATCGACGACCGCCCCGAGACCGACTCGCGCTCCTCGGTGCCCGCCGTCGCGCTCCGCCGGCTGTGCGAGCGCACCAGCTCCTGGTGCTCGAGCTGCGCCGCCTTTTTGAGCGTCCACTTGAGCGCCAGCGACGACACGTACGTCTTGAGGCTGTCGCGCCACAGCTTCATGGCCGTGCGCCGGAACTTGGCCCGGTTGACGGCCGCATCGTCGCCGTAGGCCACCTCGTCGAGGTCCTTGCGCACGTTGAGCACGCTCGTCCAGCGCTGGAACCACTCGGCCACGTCGTTGAGGAACGCCGGCAGCACGATGCTTGGACCGTCGCTCATCGGACCCGACAGCTGCTCGATGCGGTCCATCAGGTCGACGTATTTCTGGGTAGGAAGAGGAGGCCATGCGGGATGAATCGAGGGCGGAGGTCAGTTCGATCTTCGGGCGGGCACTCGTGCTGCCATTCCGCGGACCACCCACGTGCTGGATGCGGCGGATGTCGACGCTGGCGCACACGAAGGCGTCTCCCGGCACGGACCCGGGCATGCGCCACCACTCCTGGCACTTGCGGATGAGCGGGTTGTCGGGCGAGATCGAGTGGGTCGTGATCTTGTTGGCGATCTGCTGCGACTTGTCCTGGACAAAGAGCATCATAAACGTGCGCTGCCGGCTGCGGAAGCGGCGCTGCACGGCGGCGTACCGCTGCTGGCCCGCCTGGTCGAGCACCGACTCGCTCGGCTTGACGCAGTTGGGCATATCGGCGTGCAGCTGGATGTCCATCGCCAGGCGGAACGCATATCCGACCTGGATGACGCTCAGGCCGTCGTCGAGCATCTTCCAGCTGGCTAAGATGAAAAAGGCCTGGCAGCAGAGCACGGTGCGGTCGCCGTCGACAAACGCCCGGGCGGCGTGGTCGCGCACCTGGCTGTGGAGCACGCGGCGGATGTGGCGCGCGTAGCCGGCCGCCTCGTCGGGCGTCTG